CAGGCTGCTGGGCTCTGGTGTGGAGAGGGGGAGCTCCTGGAAGGCAGGGCAGTTTGGGTAGCACTCTCAGATCTTCAGGTGCCCGTTAGTGGGCACCCCCGGCTGAGGTGACTTGGGGTCTGCCTACCTGTGAATAGACCGGAAGTGGGGGGATGTAACAGCAGGCTCTTTGCAGGACTTTGCACTGTGCCTGCATCAGGATGTGATGATATGAAAAGCTTCCATTTACCGAGTTCGCGCAGAACACTATGTACATGATCTCATTTCACCTTCCAGCAACCCTTTCTGCATAGTATTCTTATCCCCGTTACGTAGGTGAGGAGCCAGATCTTGCAGTCAGGATTCTAACCCAGGTCTGTTTAACTGCATTGTCCCGGGAGCCCTGGGACTGCAGAGCTTCCTGAATATAAGGAGCTTACAGTACAACTTGTGCACAGAGAGGCCCCCTGGGGGTGGCGAAGTCAGGCCTGTCCAGTGCGCTTTGCGAACCAGCCATGTGACTTGGCCTGCATCTTTTGCCTCTGGAGCCTGCTTCCTCCCCAGGCTGGCGCTCCCCTTACACGTTTGGTAGGAGAATCAAGCGGAATGATGCATGAGAAAGTGGCAACACACAGAATCCATTCAGTGTATGCAAGTGTAACTTCCTCTTCCTTGGTTCCCTCATCTCAAATACAGGTGCTAATAATAGCTGTGAAGTCCTTTGAGGTGGTGATGCGGATGACAGAAAGCACCGTGTGTGACTGGTCATGTCCACCTGGTGTCTGAGTGATTGCTGACAGAGCTGGGACCTCTGCACTGGCTCTTCCTCTACCCAGAATGCTTTTCCCATCCCAGGATTTGATCTGGACTTCAGTCGCCCCTCAGTGTCTTACCAGGACCCAGCATATGCTCCTTGGTTTATCCTGTATTATCCGCCTCCCCCAATAAAACGGAAGCTTCATAAAGTCAGGGCTTTCGCTGGCTTCTTCTTCCCTGTGGCCCCGCGCCTGGCACACAGCAGAAGCCAAGTAAATGCTTGTGGAAGGCATGGCTGACATGCTCTCCCTGTTTCTCCACAGGCAAGGTGACCATTCTGGCTGTTAGAGTGAGTGTGCCAGCCTGGCCGAGGGAGCAGAGGCAGGTGAGGGGCTCTGTGGCCTGTGCGGCTGTTGATGGGGACTGGAGGGGCAAAGCTGGGGTGGAGGACGACGGAGGAGAGAGCGTTCAGATGCCTGGTGGACGAGTGCTGCGGTCCTCTCTTCCAGAAGTGCTAAGCTCCTTTGTGGGGGCTTCGGTGGGGCCGGGAGGCAAGTAGTCAGTTGTAAACCGGAGCCTCCGCCCTTTGGCATGAGGAAGGGTTTCCCATCTACTGGAAATTTCCACAATATCTGTGTAGAAGAAGGAAATGAGCGCTTTCCTCTGGCAGAGAAATTGAAACTCAAATGGAAGATGAAGCCTAGTCAGTACCGGCAGTAACCATGGCAACAGTGTGGCGGGTGGGGCATCACACGCACAGTTCAGGTTGGAAGCCTGGCTGGCTGTGTTCACGCAGTGGCAGGCTGGTCTCTTTAGTTGGTGCTCAGTCTGTCTCTCGCACACCAGGTATCACACCAGGCAGTGTAAGCCTGGGCAGTGACCTGAACATGCCCTCATGGAATCGAGAGTCCGGGGGAGACGGTTACAGACCTGAGTGGACTTGGATTGGAATAATCCAAGGAACGATAGGAAGGAGCTGGCCAAATGGAAAGGCGGGTAAAGGGCCGAGCCCCTGTAGAGGACCAGGGATCTTTGGAGGCAGGCCGGCCCCTCTCGGTGTCGCCAGGAGGATGCAGTGTGCCAGACGGATGCCAGTCGCGGCGGAGAATTCAGGTTTCTCAGCTCCTGGCCAGTGCCCCTGTGACCTGTGACAGGCCGAGTGCAGTTACGGGGCTTTACCAAACAATGGCTTTTGTTCTTCAGAGGGGAAGAGTGCCTTTTTCCCGTGACCAGAGAGCTTAGACTGAGTTGTTACAGTGTCCGTGGCACATCAGTCCCACTGAGCTCAACCCCGAGAATACTAACAAGTTTCCTCTTTGTCCTCCTCCCCTGCTCACCTCCCGGGCCCTGGAGCAGCGTGCCCGGCCTCTCGCACTTGTTCCCAGGACCTGATGTCAGAGGCCATGGACCAGCCGGCTGGGAGTCCTGAGAACCCGAGGCCAGGAGCGGGTGGTGATGGCGGCATGGAGCCGGGTACCTGCCAGGAGCTCCTGCACCGACTGCGGGAGCTGGAGGTGGGCGCGGGGCGCGGGGGGCAGTAGGGCTGCCCTTTCCTCCGAGCTTGGTGGGGTGTTTGGGTGCGGCGGCCCTTCCTCTCAGCCCCCTTGGCCAGGCTGGAGCGGAGATGAACATTCTTAGGAGAGCTCCTCTGAGAAGCCCTCTCCTGCCCTTAGCTCTCTAGGCGAGGTGCCGCTCAGGGACAGGAGGCATGCCCAGGGGCAGGCTTGTCCTAACCCCTCAATGTCTCCCTTCTTTACCCCACTTCTCCCCCACATTCATGCTCTGAGGAAAGGGGTGGTCACAGAGGAAAAAGGGTTTAGATGTCCTGGCACTCAGGATTTGAGGGACAAGGACATGGATCCTTAAACGAAGGCCCTACATCACATTCTTAGGTCCTGCCAGTCTCCTCTGCCCTCTCCCCAGGGAAATCAGGGTTACTCTTAGCACCTCCCACCTTAGGTCCTGGTCACTGACTGAGGTTGAGGTTACAGAAAACCAGACATCTGAGCTCTGCCTTCTAATGCCCTCAGCCCATCTCTATAGGCCTCCCCGTGGCAGAATCCATCCAGAGCCAAGAGGTGGGCAGGGGGGTAATTAGTAGACTCCTTGCCTCCCCTTCACTAAAAGGAGTTTGCCCTGAGGGAATAATGGTCCCATGGCCTCCTTTTTGCCCTCTTCCCGCGTCCTGCAGGCAGAGAACTCGGCACTTGCCCAGGCCAACGAAAACCAGCGGGAGACCTATGAGCGCTGTCTGGACGAGGTCTGTGGGGTCTGCAGTGGGACTGATGCTGGGGAGGGTTGGGGAGCATAGCTTGTCTCCTCCAGATAAAGGCTGTTGGCTGACATCTCTGCCTCGGGGCTTTCTGTCCCCAGGTTGCCAACCATGTGGTACAGGCACTACTGAACCAAAAGGTAAGTGGCCATGGGAGACCTTCTCACCCCTAAGTCCACCCTCCCTGGGAGAGGTCCTGGGTGCCACAGGGGACCCCTGAGCCTTCTCAGCTAAGCCTTTGATGGGGGCTAGAGGAGGGAGCTTGGCGGAAATGTCCTATTGGCCCAAAGATGCCCCCACCCCTCGCTTCCTCACTTCAGACGGGCTTGTTCTGTTTTATCTGGAGGCAGGGGTGGCATAGGTGAGGCCAGATCTCTGACTTATGGTACCTTTGATTTGGGCTTGAATCCTTCTCTTATTCTGGCCCCAGATTGTAATGGACCTGAAAGCAGTGTTGATGTTGGGAGCATAAGGTGGCATCTAAATATTTACTGAAGCACTGTGGGTAACTTCTCGACACATGGTCCATCTGACCCCTAGATCTTCCTCTGCCTTGTATGGACCCTTCTTTAATGTGTGGTTTCTAAGAGGCGCTGGGCTGGCTCCAGGATTGGGGAAGGTACCAATGGGAATGGGATTTACCTCCCTCCGTGGGTGGTTAACTTTAGAGAATTTACCATCCCCTGAGGATTTGATAGCTGCAGCCTCCTTCACGGAGGATGTTGCAGGAGAAGGGCATGCCTGGGAGGAGTGCCCACTGCTCTGATGAAGGGAACTGTGTGCTCACCCACCCTCCCTGGTATACTCTCCTTCTTTTCCTCCACCTCCTCCCGGGCGGCGGCAGGACCTTCGGGAGGAGTGCATCAAGCTGAAGAAGAGAGTGTTTGACCTCGAACGACAGAACCAGATGCTGAGCTCCCTGTTTCAGCAGAAACTCCAGCTCACGACAGGCTCCCTCCCTCAGGTGGGCATAAGCCATTCTCCTTCCCTCATCACACCTCAGTTTCCTGCCTCCCCCAGCCCCATCATTACCACCACCCACCTTTCCCCAAAACACCTACAGAAGCAGGCTGCCCAGCGCTCCCTCCATTCTGGAGGCAGTCCATCCAGGGAAGGCCCGCCTGGCCTGATAGATGTGCGCCTCAGACGGGGTGAAACTCCCTGAGTCCCCTCAAGCCGGGCTGTCCCCCACTTGCAGGTGCTTCCCTCCCAGGTGGATGGGATCCTATCTCACCGACAGAGAGGTTCCTGCTTACCCTCCCCCTGTGTGGGGAGATGGGTGGAAGCTGAAATTGTAATTATTTCACGCTCCCAAGGGGCCCCTTTGGCCACTGCACTGCCTCTTCTTGGCCAGGGGCTGGGGTGGGACCGGGTGGAAGGCACCCAGCGCTTGGTGTCACAGAGAGGTCAGGAAAGGCACTTGGCCGGACAACTCTGTATTTGTGCACATTGCATACGGGGTGGGGCAAAAGTAGGTTTACAAAACACAGAGTTTATTCTGGTATTATTATTTATTATTGTATTATTTTTCCATACAAACAACGGTAAACCTACTTTTGTCCCATCCTGTATGCTCACCCACTGACTCAGATATGGCCGTAGACCCTGGTTGGTCCCTGCTTCTAGCCCCGACACCCGCCTTACCCGGGAGAAGCAGGAGCCCACTCGGAGTGAATCCTGTGCTCGTTTGGGGTCACGCTGTCAGAAAGCCTCATTGCAGGGGTGAGACACGGGCGTAGGAGGGTCAGGAGCAGCTCCGGGTTCTGAAGTCAGCCGGCGCACCCTCACCCCACCTCTGACCTTGACAAGAAGAGAAGTACCTTCTGTGTGTGTGTTTGTCTGATACAAACCAGGCAGCTCTTGGCTCCCAGACCCTGGGCAGGATGCCCTCAGCTCCTGGGAGGCCTGACCCTGCCTGTCTAGAACCCCTGTCACCAGGCAGGTACAAAGCTGAGTGAATCAGCCGCAGGGACTGCAGCCCCCCTGCCCTGGTCTTGCCCAGCTACAGGGTTCACCCTGGAATTCCCAGAGGCCTAACCACACTGGCCGATCTCACCCCGTCCATTCCTTCTCAGTAACTAGTGATAAAAGAGGTATAGATCATCCTTAAGTCATTTTTTTTTACTTAAATTAATTCTGGGATTTGAATTTGGGCTTTTTAGATGAATTTTGGGGTTTGGGGTCATAGAGTCATCTTCCCCAGAGGTAATTTATGACATAATGGAAAGAGCATGAACCTCACATAAACTCCCTAACTTAGCTAATTCTTAGCTATGTGACCTTGGACAAATTATATAATCTTACAAACCAGTTTTTCCTTCTAGGTGGGAATAAGGGCACCTGTATTGCAGGTTGTCATGAGGATTAAGTAAGATAATAAATAGTGCTTGGCCCAGAGTATATGGTCAGTGTTCGGCAGCAGCTATTTATCATTATTCATGTTATTCCTAAATTGTGCTTTTCTAGGATGAAAGCCCCATTGAGATGCTAATTAAGCTCTTGTTATGAGTAGTGCCTTTGCCAACACATATGGAACTGGACAGGGCTGTCGCCTGTGCAGAGCAAATGTAACCCCTGACGGCCGGGACTGCCGAAGCGAAGGCAGGTCTACAGGCAGCAGTAGTACAAAGCAGAGTGTGACAGCGCCGCCCAAGAGCCAGAGGTGGGGGAGGCTGGGCACAGAGACAGGCTGGGGAGGGCTCCCTTAATGAGGTGGCATTGGATCTGGGCCTTGATGGATGAGAGATTTAAAGAGAGTGCAACGGGGGGCAGAGAAACGCGATTCCCTGTGGAAGGGACAGAGCAGGAGGCCTAGGCAGCGGCAAGCTGTTCAGCGGGGCTGGAACAAAGGGTGTGTGAGCAGCAGTGAGAGGCAGAGCTGGCGCCGGCGTCGGGAAGACCAGGCGGGCTGGCTGGAATGCAGGCAGAGGAGTTCAGACTTGTCTTCAGTGAGCAGGCAGAGGAGGCTTTGAGCACAAAGATGCTTCAGGAAGAAAAAAAAAAAGAAAGAAAGAAAAACATGCTTTAGGCCGCCTTGTACATCGGAGGTTGAGAAGCCACCCAAGTCAGAGACTGGAATGCTGAGCAGATCCAGCAGGAGGTGTGAGGATCTGGGCTGCAGGGGCGGCTGCAGGTGGCAGAGGGGAGGCAGAGATGCTGCTGAGACAGGATCTGAGAGCTGCAGAGAGTGAGAGACAGGGAGGACTTACAGTTGACTGCTATCGAGTTGAAATGCCAGAGTGAAGGAAGTGACATCCTCAGGGACTGAGAGAGACGAGACCCATGATTCAGTACCACTTCTGTAATCCTCAGAGTCCAGCTTCACGTGAGACTGTTTAAGGGAGACAGAGTGATAGCTGGCACCACCGTCTCTTTTCTGGAACCCAGTAACAAGTCCCCTTCCCTTAGTCTCAGCCTGTGATGCTGGGCTCAGAGGTAGTCAGAACAGGAGGGGCCTCGCTGCGCGCTCTCTGTAACCAGGGAGGAGGTCCTGAGGAAGAGCAGAGCGGTCCTGGATCTGCAGTGGCACCTGGGGTGGGCCTGCCACTGCCCTCGGGCCCAGGAGCCATGTCTCCCGTCCCCCAAAGCCTCTGGACCGCCCCACCTTTCTGCCACCTGGGCATGCACTTCAGTCTGCCTGTGCCTTGGTCTCCCGAGGCTCCTTGACCAGGTGGTGGGGACGGTGAAAGCATACCTTGGGCGAGGAGATGTCCCTGAAGGGGCAACTCTTTCCTGGGGAAGTAGGGACCTAGGACAGAGCACTTGTGCTAACTCTGCCTCTCCCTACAGATCCCACTTACCCCACTCCAGCCTCCATCAGAGCCACCAGCCTCCCCCTCCCTGAGCTCCGCCGAGGGACTGGCCACCTCGCTGCCTCTGGGGCGCTGTGCTGGGCAGAGAGAGGTAGGAGGGCTGGGCACGGTGGTCAGTGGCTCTGCTGGCCATGGGCTTGTCCGTTGCCTCCATTGCTGATTTCTAATGAGTCCCAGGGGAGGCCGTGCCCCGTGCACAGGTTCTTGACCAGACTGTGTCACCTCAGACCAAGAAACATAGGTCCCATCCCAACCACTGGCCTTGCAAGCAAATGTGTTACTTCTGCAGTAGGAGTCACGGCTCCCTTGTGTGTCAGCCACTGCTGAGCACCTGGGTCTCATCTGCCTTATGAGGTTAAACATAGCGAGCATCCGTTTTACAGATGATGCTATGAAGCTTGAAGATTCAGTAACTTGCCAAAGGCCATATAACTAGTTAGTAGTAGGTCTGGTTCTTGAAGCTACACGGTCTGGCTGCAGAGCCCATGGAGTTAACCACTATGTCAGACTGGACTGGGCACGAGAGGGGGCCGGGCAAAAGCCGAGATGGGCTTGCAGTAGAGTCATTCCCAACCCTCTTCTCCATGGAGATCCGGTCAGCAGGCCGCTGTCTGACCTAAAAGGGCCTGGGCTCGCTGCAGTGGCTTAGGAATTGGCTGCATCACGTCCCCTTCTTGAGTCTGTGTTCTTTCTGAGCCTGAAAAATGAACAGGCCTCCCTCCCCGGGACAAGCATAGCGGTCAGTGTTGTCGGTGGTCAGCCCTGCCGACCCAAACAGCAGTGGGAAGTGGTGGGAAAGCAGGGCTGGGATAGCCAGGAAGGGAAATGGGGTCCCCACCCAACCCCAGTCATGCCAAGAAAGAGCTGGACTAACCAGGGCTCAGTGATCCTTAGGGAGGAGGAGCCATCGTATCCCAGGAGCTGCCCATTCCTCTTGGGGACAGACAAAACCAGGCCAGCGGTGTCCCTGCCACACACAGTTATGCGCAGCTCAGGCCCGGGGTCTGCACGTGGTCTCCTTATGCTCTTTCTCCCCCAAGGTGTGTTGGGAGCAGCAGCTGCGGCCAGGAGGCCCAGGACCCCCGGCTGCCCCACCCCCAGCGCTGGATGCCCTGTCCCCATTCCTTCGAAAGAAAGCCCAGATCCTGGAGGTGCTGAGAGCTCTGGAAGAGACTGACCCCTTGCTTCTCTGCTCACCTGCCACCCCCTGGCGGCCTCCAAGCGAGGGTCCTGGCTCCCCAGAGCCCATCAACGGCGAGCTGTGTGGCCCACCCCAGCCCGAGCCCTCCCCCTGGCCCCCCTACCTGCTACTAGGCCCTGGTAGCCTGGGAGGCCTGCTACACTGGGAGCGCCTCTTGGGGAGCCATGGGGAGGAAGAGGGTGCTGGGCGGCCCTGGGGCCCTAGTAGGGCCTCCCTGCAGGCCCAAGGAGCCATCTCTGGTCCACCCTGTGCCCCAGGCAGCAGCTCCTCCTCCTCTTCTGATGAGGCAGGTGATCCCAATGAGGCACCCAGCCCCGACACCCTGCTTGGGGCCCTGGCCCACAAACAGCTGAACCTGGGTCAGCTCCTTGAGGACACAGAGTCTTACCTACAGGCCTTCCTGGCCGGGGCCACCGGCCCACTCAACGGGGACCACCCAGGCTCCAGGCAGCCATCCTCCCCAGACCAGGGCCCCCCACAGCTATCCAAGTCCAAAGGCTTCCCCAAGTCAGCTTGGGGTGCGGGTACTCCAGAGGCTCACAGGCCAGTCTTTGGTGCTACCTCAGAGGGCCAGGAGCCCCTCCCCTTCCTCAGCATGTTCATTAGTGCGGGGGACGCCCCCCTGGGCTCTCGACCTGGCCACCCCCACTCCTCATCTCAGGTGAAAAGCAAGCTCCAAATCGGCTCCCCTTCTCCCGGGGAAGCCCAGGGACCCCTTCTGCCCTCTCCAGCCAGAGGGCTCAAGTTTCTAAAGTTGCCTCCAGCCTCGGAGAAGGTCCCCAGCCCAGGAGGCCCCCAGCTCAGCCCTCAGCTCCCCCGGAACTCCCGAATCCCCTGCCGGAACAGCGGCTCAGATGGCAGCCCCTCCCCACTGCTGGCCCGAAAGGGCCTGGGTGGAGGAGAACTGTCCCCAGACGGGGTCCAGGGCCTGCCCACCAGCCCTTCACCCTGCTCCACAACCCCGGACTCTGCACAGCTCCGACCTCCCCAGCCAGCCTTCTCCACCACGCTGTCCCCTGGGTCGCCCTGCTACGAGAACATCCTGGACCTTTCCCGGAGCACCTTTAGGGGGCCTTCTCCAGAGCCACCCCCACCCCCGTTGCAGGTGCCCACCTACCCACCACTAACTCTGGAGGTGCAGCAGGCCCCTGAGGTCCTCAGAAGCCCCGGAGCCCCCCTTAGCCCTTGCCTCCCAGAATCCTGCCCCTACGGGAGCCCCCAGGAGAAAAACGTGGACAAGGCAGGCTTGGAGTCTCCCCATCCTTGCCGCAGGGCCCCAGGCAGCTCAGCCAAGAAGCCCAACCAGGGGGCAGGACGGCGACCTGGAGATCCTGGCCACACCCCTCTGCGGGACAGGCTGGCAGCCCTGGGGAAGCTGAAGACGGGCCCCGAGGGGTCCCAGGGCCCAGAGAAGAACGGGGTGCCAGCCAGGCTTGGCACCGAGAAGGTGCGGGGAGCAGGGAGGTCAGGGGAGAGTCCTGGAGACCTGGCACTCTCCATCCCCAGGCCCCCTGAGCAGCCAGAAGCCAAGGGGGCCCTGCGGGGGGCAGTGGCCTTGGGCACAAGCAGCCTAAAGCAACAGGAACCTGGACTCCTAGGGGAGCCCGGGGCCCGAGTCTACTCCTCCCACTCCATGGGGGCCCGCGTGGACCTGGAGCCTGTCTCACCGAGGAGCTGCCTCACCAAAGTGGAGCTGGCCAAGAGCCGGCTGGCAGGGGCCCTGTGTCCCCAGGTGCCCCGCACCCCTGCCAAAGTGCCAGCCTCAGCCCCCAGCCTGGGCAAACCCAGTAAGAGCCCCCACGGCAGCCCGACAAAGCTACCTTCCAAGTCACCTACCAAGGTGGTGCCCCGACCTGTGGCCCTGCCAGCCACCAAGGAGCCCCCCAAGCCTGACAAGGGGAAGGGCCCACCCTGGACAGACTGTGGTAGCACCATGGCTCAGCCCACACCCTCAGCACCTGGCCCTGCTGACCCAAGCCAGGGTCCTGAGGGGCGTGCCCTACACTCGGCCATTGAGGAGAAGGTGATGAAGGGCATCGAGGAGAACGTACTGCGGCTCCAGGGTCAGGAGCGGGCACCAGGCACCGAGGCTAAGCACCGAAACACTAGCAGCATTGCCAGCTGGTTTGGCCTTAAGAAGAGCAAGCTGCCAGCACTAAACCGCCGCACAGAGGCCACCAAGAGCAAGGAAGGGGCCAGCGGGGGCTCCCCGCTCCGGAAGGAGGTAAAGGTAGAATCCCGGAAGCTGGAGGCAGAGAGCCTCAACATCTCCAAGCTGATGGCTAAGGCAGAGGATTTGCGCCGGGCGCTGGAGGAGGAGAAGGCCTACCTGAGCAGCAGGGCCCGGCCGCGGCCCGGGGGACCAGCACCAGGGCCCAGTGCAGGGCTGGGGCAGGTCCAGGGTCAGCTGGCTGGCATGTACCAGGGCGCAGACACCTTCATGCAGCAGCTGCTCAACAGGTGAGGGCCTGGGACAGTCGCAGGTGCTTGGTGACTGAGGACACTTGTCTCTCCATGGGTACACCAGAGACGGGCTGGGAACCCTTGGCCTGGGAGCTTAGGCTTCGCAGAAGTCGGAAGGGGTCAGAGGTCAAGCAAAATGCTACCAAAATATTGGGGGGTTCGCAGCCTGACCAAGAGGAAAGATGGGGTGTTTGTTCCCCAGCTCCCCGCCTCTCTGGCTGATAATCAGCTTGCTGAGACAGTTTCTCATTTGGGAAGAGGGAACAGTCCACACTTTCCTGGGTCATCTCCGGTGTCGGGTGAGGCGGCCAACCTAAATGCCTGCACACAACAGTCCAAGAGATGCTAGTTCCTGGCCATGGCCTGATGAAGTCTCACTCTGGGGTTTCCCATCCTATAGAACAGGGGTGGGGAACATCCAGCGCAAGGGCTGTGTAAGGCCCATGAAATCATTTGGCCTGGCCCTGCCAAGGCATTAAGGGTGAGTTAATTAAATGTTTGACCAAATATAGCAGGATAATTTGTTATTGTTGTTAATCCTTACCCAGGGATATTTTAGAGAGAATGGAAGGGAGGGGGAGAGGCAGAGAGAAATATCGATGTGAGAGAGACACCGATTTGTGCCTCATCTAAGTCCTGGGATCAAGCCTGCAACCAAGGCACATGCCCTTGACCAGAATTGAACTGGGACTCTTCAGTTCTATCCACTGAGCCAAACTGGGTAGAATTTTTCAGTTGATAATTTTGTGTGGCCCGCGAATAATGATATAAATGTCCAAATGGCTCTTGGCAGAAAAAGGGTACCCCACTCCTGCTATGGAACAAAGGGGGGTCTCCTTCCCATCATGACCTTTGGCATCTGCCGCAGAACCAGCAATGGGAGCTGTGGTTTACAGAGTGGCTTGGGGTTGCTCTCTCTGGGCCAGGTTAAGGCAGAATGTCTGCAGGAATTGGGCCCAGGTCTGGTGTGATTTGGACAGCAGATTCAGCTGGGCCAGGCTGGGTGTGTTGTGTGGGCCAGGATGTGACCAGGTTTGCCATTTATCTGCCAACATTGTAGCGTGGTCTCTAAGCTTGACTCTGGGTAATTTTGGGAGAGTTCTCCCATCTTCCCAGCCCCTGCTATCCCTCTGGGGTTCCTCTAGGGCAGTGGTCGGCTAACTGCGGCCCCTTGCGTGTGGCTCTTCCACAAAATACCACGTGCGGGCGCACATACAGTGCGATTAAAACTTCGTGGCCACACTCGAGGGACCAAAGAGCCGCATGTGGCTCGCGAGCCGCAGTTTGCTGACCACTGCTCTAGGGTCTCTGCGAGTTCCCTTGTCAGAAGGGATTGTTGTGGGACACCATCAGGGATATGTCCCCTTCCCCAGGGACAGAGGGGGTGTCTTACTAGACCCACACCATTGGTGGGAACAAGGCCTCCCTCATCTCCTTCTGCACTATTGCCCCTAGGGTGGATGGCAAGGAGCTGCCACCCAAGAGCTGGAGGGAGCCCAAACCTGAGTATGGTGACTTCCAGCCAGTGTCCTCTGACCCCAAGAACCCCTGGCCAGCCTGTGGGCCCCGAAATGGCCTGGTGGGCCCTCTTCAGAGCTGCGGAAAACCTGGGAAGGTAAGCTCTTGGGACGAGGGCTGGGTGGAGGGCTGGTCTCTTGGTCCTGTCAGATCTCTTAACCCTGGAGGGCTCCCCTCCCTGGGGCCTGGAAGCTGCTGAATGCGTTTCGGGTGGGGGTGGGTGGTCCTGGGAAGGGGAGAGGACCTCCTGAGGGCTGGAAGGCTTTGGGCACTCTCAGATCCATACTTCAGGGGTCCTAATGATGAGGCTAGGAGAGGGTTTGGGGTAGGGGACGAATGTGCTCAGAGGTCTCCTGTTTCCCACAGCCAAGCAGCGAGCCAGGAAGGCGGGAAGAGATGCCTTCAGAGGTCAGCCTGGCCGAGCCAGTGCCCACCTCACACTTCACAGGTCAGTAGATCAAGGGCCAAGAATAGGACTTTACCCCTTCCTGTCACTGCAGCCGATGCCGGGCCCTGAGTGCCATATTGGTACCAATCACCAGGCGGGCCCTGGGGCTGCACAGAAATATCACTTCTTACACTCAGGGTACCTGCCACCCTTCCAACCTCGGGAAGGTGGGACAGGATAGGCAGGGACCACATAGGGGGGGCCTGGACCAGGGGTGGAGCCTAGGTTGGGGCAGGAAGCTGGAAGAAGGCAGAGTGGATGAGCCACCTGCAGCCTCACATTCATGACTTACCCTCCCCTCCCCCAGCCTGTGGCTCCTTGACTCGAACCCTGGACAGTGGCATTGGGACCTTCCCGCCCCCAGACCATGGCAGCAGTGGGACCCCCAGCAAGAATCCTCCCAAGACCAAGCCACCGCGGCTGGAGCCCCCACCCGGGGGGCCCCCAGCG